TGTAACGTGCGACTCCCACAAAACCTAAAAAAAAAAAAAAAAAAAGTAACAAAAACTATGGCATATTTTTTTTTTAACCGTCACATAAGACGTCCGTCCAACTGGTGCTGCCGAAAGTTCATAGGTCATCACAGACCACCCAGCCACGTCACTACAAAATTAACGCCTGCCCATCAGTCTCGCTCTTTACATGCGCACCGACCAACTTTCTCAAAAGTCCAAAACGTTAATCCGCTTTGATCCCCACGGAGTCCAAAACAGATTGGGGGAACATATTTGTGTTGGACAAACGACTCGCGACCTTTTCAGACGGGTATATAGCTGAATGTCAGGGCGTCTACGCCGAGTTATGCCGCCCCTAAATCTTCCGGACGCCCTTCAACTGTTACCAGGCAACAAGGAAGTCGGTTGGCCAGACTTTCGTGCACGTGTATTATGATGCATTTTTAACTTTGTCTCTCGACTCATTTTTAACATTTACGTTTTTGGATCCGCGCGGGTCAAAGATGGCGCTCCCAGTCAACTCCCTTCTGCTTGTACTTACGGGTGAGTGGGTTTTTAAAATAAAAAACTATTTTACTTTAAACTTGATTTTCTCTAGAGGATTGAATAATTTGTGTGAAAACGGATATTACTTAATGTTTTTTTTTTAAAAAAGAAATCTTAAATTCTGGCTCAAACACGTTACGTGAGTTCTTCGCCTCTTGACTAAATGCCAAGACAATTTACGGTTTACGTTTAAGTAACAATAGTGGAAATAGTGGACCTTTCAAGAATATTGATGCGGCCTTGTGACTTTCTCTTCAATGTGTTCGGATTTTTAAAACTTTAGCCAGCACAAGTTCGTGGTGCCTAACATTTTAATGGCGTGGGTGGATTAAGTTTAAAACTAAAACCATCGCTAAAAGTGGTTTATTGGACCATCGCTAAAAGTGGTTTATTGGACCATCGCTAAAAGTGGTTTATTGGACCATCGCTAAAAGTGGTTTATTGGACCATCGCTAAAAGTGGTTTATTGGACCATCGCTAAAAGTGGTTTATTGGACCATCGCTAAAAGTGGTTTATTGGACCATCGCTAAAAGTGGTTTATTGGACCATCGCTAAAAGTGGTTTATTGGACCATCGCTAAAAGTGGTTTATTGGACCGTGGGTGCGCCATATCACAGTGAATGATTATATGATATTTACCAAATCTTAAAAGGGATTATTATTTGGTGAACTTATCACATGACAAAGTGAATACTTAATTTGGTATATATGCCACATATAAAAGATTCCAAATAATCACTCACTTTGATATGGTTTATACGCCAAATAATCATTGAAGATGCCGCATATCAAAGTGAATGATTATTAAGTGTATGTGTAACATATCAAAGTGAATGATTATTTGGTGGTTATGCCACATATCAAAGTGATTAATTTTTTGGTGGTATATGCCACATATCAAAGTGAATGATTATTTGGTGTTTTTGCTACCTATCAAAGTGAATGATTATTTGTTGTATTTGCTACCTATCAAAGTGAATGATTCAAAGTAAATCAATGTAAAGAGTTCCAACTAAATCTAAAATTGAGATATAAAACCATTTTTTCCCCACTGACATCGCACATTTCCCCGTACGGGGGCTCAGAGTTTCAATATAAAAAAAAAACAAAAAGAAAAAAACACCAACTTATTTTTTGTGTTACTAATGCTATAATTGTTGTTGAAGTTTATAGTTCAATTAATGTCCAAAATATTGTGACTTAACAAATAACTGATGCATTTAGTTTTAAACAACTCAATCTCTTATTTTTGTTTGCTCCTCAAACAAATTTCTTTTCAGTCATGTTTGTCGTGAGCAGCTATGGAGACATGTACTACAAACAGCCGAGGTAATGTAACGTTCCTTAAAAAAACAACAACACATTTCTCGGTAAAATAAAATCAGCTCTGAAAAACTTCTGCACGCCCCATCGCTATCAAACCCAGACAAAACTGTGATAACCTACAATTGTCACCAAAATCAGCGGTTCTCAACAAATGTGTCGCGACCCCTTTTTTTTTTGGGGGGGGGGTCGAACAACTCTTTCACAGGGGTCGTCTAAGACCATCCGAAAACCCACAAAGAAAATCATTTTGTGGTTTTGGGGTCGCCACAAACCAAAATCAGCGGTTCTCAACAAATGTATCGCGACCCCTTTTTTTTTTGGGGGGGGGGGTCGAACAACTCTTTCACAGGGGTCGTCTAAGACCATCCGAAAACACACAAAGAAAATCATTTTGTGGTTTTGGGGTCGCCACAACACGAGGAACTGTATGAAAGGGTCGCGTCATCAGGACGGTTGAGAAACACTTATCTAAGTTCTAAGATAATTTATTCAAATAAAAGAAGATACTCTTAAGTGAGCAGCTTAATTTTTGTGAAGCTTCTTTTAATGAATAAAAAATGTCTCAAATTCCTCTGATGTGTAGATCTATACACTTACCATTTCTTCTATAGCTTAAGGGCCCACGATTAATTTATTGATCATTTGGGCTCCTATTTAGCTTGGAGATTTCTGCCACAGATTTGAAAATGGTTGCGAACTGAATTTTTGTATCATTGTTAAACTGCTCCCATTTTCAAAATGGAAAAGAAAGCGGCAACTTCAAATCACACCTTGGAACCACCAACACCCTTCTGAGTATCGACCTATCACATCAGCTTCTAACCATCACACCATCATACCATCTTCTTACCATTACTTCATCCCATCACCTTCTAACCCAATCGCTAAATTCCGTCATCTTCTAAGCATCACTTCATCACATCATCTTCTAACCCATCACACCATCATACCATCTTCTTACCATCACTTCATCTCATCATCTTCTAACCCATCACTAAATCTCATCACATTCTAACCCATCACTAAATGCAATCACCTTCTAACCCATCACTAAATGCAATCACCTTCTAACCCATCACTAAATGCAATCACCTTCTAACCATCACTCCATCCCACCACCCCCTAACCCATCACTAAATCACACCCCCTTCTAACCCATCACCTCCATCCCATCACCTCCATCCCATCACCTCCTAACCATCTCCCCGCCTCCTCTCCCCCCCAGCATGATGATGATGGGCAGACCAGGTAAAGTCATCCACGTCCACCACTACGACGCCGGCATGTCCAACAACCACATGAGCAGCAGCTACAAGAAGCACGACTCCGGCGGCTCCTCCCTCATCGAGCTCCTCATCCTCTCGAGCCTCCTCGGGGGCACCGGCCTCACCGGGACCACCGGTACCCAGACCGCCGTGGTCAACGGGCAGCTGGTCCCGATCCAGAACGGATAGGCCTCTGTCACGTGACCGTGGGGGGCGTCTCGCTGTGACGCGAACATTGGCGTCAGTGGAAATCAATTTTCTGAATCAACAAGTAGTTCTATGTTTGTCAGTGTTCCTGAGTTGATCAGATCCAACAATGGCCGATGATTAAAATAAAAAAAAAAAGCTATAAATTAAAAAAAAAAAAAGAAAAAAAAAAAAAAAAAAAAACAGCAGATAAAAACATTGACAAACTATAATATTACATTGCACATTCATTTATTGGTTTGTTTCGTGACTTGGTTAAATAATTGTGAGCATCTTTTTAAATTTATTATCACAAAAAAATATGTTCAATTTTCAGATATTTCTTTCACCCAAATTTTAACGCACGGGATTAAATTTATGACTAAAAAAAACAAAAACAAAACGTGTTTTGAAAATAAAGATCAGTTATCAGGAATGAATCATCAACTATCGACCTTGTCAAATTATAACACACAAAAAAAATAATAATTAGTAAAACATCAAAAATAGAATCAATTAATGGAACTTTAAAATTTCATGATTAAATACACACAACAAAAAAAAGAGTTCATGTTCACCAGCTTTTGAAATTTATTTTCATTTTTTTTTTCGTGTTCATGTGTACATTGTCATTTGAAAATAGAAAATAATTTATACCACTTTGATGCTTGGCTTTCTTTGGTGTGTTGGCAAACTTAAAATGTTTGATTGTCTCTTGTGCAGCTTCATTCATTTGCTTTTGTTTGATTGAATTAAATATTCTTTTTTTTTTTTTTCCAAAGGCTTATCTTTTATGTTTGACTCTGAGGTTTAACAATCTTTAACAACTGAGCCATGCATCCAGTGATTCTAACGTTAAGCTTTTATTTAAGTGGTGGCTTTACCCGCCCCCTGCCCCCCCCCACACACACAACAATCTACACGCACCCACACACACACACAAGCTCCACCTAATAACATAGCCCTAGCGAGTCTCAACATATGCCTCACACACAGCTCCCCCATATTTCCCCAGCCCCACACACTCACACACTCGCCACCTACACTCTTCGCCACAAATACCCACACCGCCTTACCACACACACACACACAGACACCCCTCTAACACATAACTCACACGCTCACACCACACCGTTTAAAACCACAAGTACCCCCTCTCCACACACCCGCACAAACACAAAGGAACAAAATCACAAACTTGTCCATACAGTTCACAATATTCTGTTAAGCTTTGTAGCGCAGCCGTATAGAAAAGTCCATCCCAAATGTCTCTGATTTATTTTATTTTATTTTTTTTTGGGGGGGAGGGGGGGACAATGGAGGGCGAGGGATCTCCGATAAAGCTGAAAGCCAAGGGGCCCGCTGGTGCCATTTTCATTTCTCTCCATTCAGATCCCAGATAACAGACTACAAATGCTGGAAAATCTGGCCTTATCACGCTTAGCGGCTTAACCATTAAAGGCTTTTAGCCGACATTTTTTTTTTTCAAATTGAGGCTTACTGAGATAAAATTACGCGAAGCTGAAACAGATTGAGGGAAGGGAATTCTTTCTTTTCTTTCTTTCTTTCTTTCTTTCTTTCTTTCTTTCTTTCTTTCTTTCTTTCTTTCTTTCTTTCTTTCTTTCTTTCTTTCTTTCTTTCTTTCTTTCTTTCTTTCTTTCTTTCTTTCTTTCTTTCTTTCTCTCTTTCTTTCTTTCTTTCTTTCTTTCTTTCTTTCTTTCTTTCTTTCTTTCTTTCTTTCTTTCTTTCTTTCTTTCTTTCTTTCTTTCTTTCGTTCTCCTGCTTGTCTTCGTTAAGCCAACATGATAACGTGTTGTCCTGAACTCACTACTATATCTTCTCTAGTTTCCTGGCTGAATGCTCATCTCTTCCCAGCGACGTCAACCATATACGCCAACCACATATCCCACCCACATTCGCCAAACACATACGTAATACACGTACGCCATCCACATATTCCACTCACTTATTTCACCCACATTCGCCACACACATACGCCACACACATACGCCACATTTTCATCAAAATTTCATTTAAAATAAATGCTAGCGTCCCCAGTGACTCATCTGAACACTTGCTAGCGTCCCCAGTGACTCATCTGAACACTTGCTAGCGTCCCCAGTGACTCATCTGAACTCTTGCTAGCGTCCCCAGTAACTCATCTGAACACTTCCTTATTCTTTCCTTTACGTCTGTCCCCATTCACCAAGACAATGTGCTCCCCATTTTTTTCCATTTTACCATTTATTCCGAACTCACCCTAACCTCAAAATCTTACCATCCCCACCAATCTATCCTTCCCCAAACACGTTCCCATCCCGAACATCTTCAACAATCTCAACCATCTTCCCATCCACAATCATCTTCCCATCTCCCAATCATCCTCCCATCCCCAAACACCATCGCTCCTGAACTCACCACCACACCATTTATAAACACATTTCCACCCCAAACTTGTCCCCAGCCCTGGACGCCTAGCCATTCCAAATACCTTCCTTCCACCGATCCCTAAATACCTTCCTTCCACCGATCCCTAAATACCTTCCTTTCACCGATCCCTAAATACCTTCCTTCCACCGATCCCTAAATACCTTCCTTCCACTGATCCCTGAATACCTTCCTTCCACTGATCCCTAAATACCTTCCTTTCACCGATCCCTAAATACCTTCCTTCCACTGATCCCTAAATACCTTCCTTTCAACGATCCCTAAATACCTTCCTTTCACCGATCCCTAAATACCTTCCTTCCACCGATCCCTAAATACCTTCCTTCCACCGATCCCTAAATACCTTCCTTCCACCGATCCCTAAATACCTTCCTTTCACCGATTCCTAAATACCTTTCTACCCTCAACCTCCCCAAATTAACTAAATGACCATTATCCTTGCATGTGATTAGAGTTTCTTATATCCCGCGTTCTCGCTTATCCCGGGAAACGGGAAGAGAGTTTTCCTTATTTCGGCATTTCGGGAAATTCCGAGATAAAATAAATGTAATTAAAAAAAAAATATATTATAAACTGAATTCAACTTTAAAAGAGTTGATTTTTAGTGTTGTTTAATTGCCCATTAATGAATTTTAAAAAAAAGTTGCTTCATTACCTACTGCTTATTCCAAGTGCTGGATAATCAGCTCATCATAATTTGCCCGTTTAGCAAAAGTCGGACATAATTGCTTGTAGAAAAAAAATAACAACAACAACCCAACACTGTATGAGTTTCGCCATTCTTTACTGGTCGCTAGAACCCAATTCTACTTTCGAATCCGCCACACAAGTATTTACAAGTACATTTTTTCGAACAACTTGTAAAAAAAAAAAAGGGTTCGTTTCGAATAATTAAAAAAAATCAATTAGGAATGTAAATGTATTTTTCTTACTCTGTTGATTTTGGAATAACCCCCCCCCCCCCCCCCCCCGCCCCCCTTTCCACACAAACACACCACATATTATAAAATATTACAAAGGTTGTTTGACACACGAAGTCTTGGGATAATCCAGTTACAAGAACACAGGTTTCCAGCCAATGGGAGGCGACCTCAGACGGGGTTGCGGAAAAAGATTTCTGTGAGAGTCGCCGACTGGAGAACAGACTAAGAGAAGAAGTGATTTAAAAAAAAAATGTTTTTCTCTTATAAGTGGTGTCTTAAAGTTTGAGCTACAACTTAAACCATGACATTAAATATGTCGCCAATACATTATACTGGAAAATTAAGATGGATATGTTTTTCCTCTCCAAGAATTAAGCCTATTTAAAAAATCCCCCTTTCCCAGTACATCCTTGTAAAGATCACTTTACGTCTGTAAGAATGAGGTCGTGTCTCGGAAACGCTTGATAATCTACCGTGCAGTTAACTAGATTTTTACAGGCCCTGGCGTAGTGACAACTTGTGACATCTGTGACTTTGTATACTTATAAGTGAGTAGTCGGGATTTTCCCGGTATTTGAAAATTTCCCAGTAAGTCTTTTGTTTACTCAAAATCGTTCGGATGAGAAACTCTACATGTGATCCCTAAAATACATTGATTTGCGAAAACACCACGATAGATAATGGCTTCCTTTCCTTATTATTTTAATTAACATTTTACACTTACCAAACAAACTCCAAAGCTGTATCCACTATCATCAATTTAAAGTAAATTTCTGGAAATTAAAAAAATCTTAAACGATTTCCCTAAATATTTTACCATCACACCCATCCATTTCCCCATTTTACCATCACACCCATCCATTTCCCCATTTTACCATCACACCCATCCATTTCCCCATTTTACCATCACACCCATCCATTTCCCCATTTTACCATCACACCCATCCATTTCCCCATTTTACCATCACACCCATCCATTTCCCCATTTTACCATCACACCCATCCATTTCCCCATTTTACCATCACACCCATCCATTTCCCCATTTTACCATCACACCCATCCTGTACCCCATGCTCCCGCTTTTCTTTTCCTAAGGACCGCCAACTAAAATCGAAACAGTGGAGAAATCAATTTCCACTCTTAAACCATTTACCTCGGCCCAGACCTGTAATTTAATTGCCATGGATTTTCTCCCCTTGCGCCCCGCGAGAGACAACCAAGTGCATTGAAAAAACACTTTGCTACCGTCTGCGTCCACTTGGCCACTGTGTCCACTCGGCTGCTGTGCCCTGGAATGCTCGCGTCTAAGCCACTAATGCCCCTACATAGGCTCGTGGAGGCCAGCGAAATATTTGCTGTTCTCTCAGAGACCTGTGACACTGCTGATATAATTGCAAAAGTAAACAAGACCTTCTTCCCCCCCCCCCCGGTCCACCCTACACCATCCCTTCTCCCCCCCCGTCCACCTTACATCTTCCCTTTTCTTCCACCGTGTCTGAGTTTGCCAGGCCCTTCAAGGGGACAGAAACGATTAAAACATTTGACTGTGCAACGAGTTAATGCGTTGAACAATGCTCTGCTATTTCACACTGAAATGAGATGGTTGTTGAAAGGAACAGTTTAAAAATGTGTTTTTAAGCCCCCCCCCCGGTCCACCCTACACCATCCCTTCTCCCCCCCCGTCCACCTTACATCTTCCCTTTTCTTCCACCGTGTCTGAGTTTGCCAGGCCCTTCAAGGGGACAGAAACGATTTCACGAGACACACTGACACACTGGGAAGAGTGGCAGGTATCAACTGTAACATCCTGATACTGAAAACACCACCAGCCAGCATTACTCTCTCTCTCTCTCTCTCTCTCCCTAACACCACTCACCAGCCGTATTCTCCCTACCTTATCCAAACACCACCCGTTACCCGTACGCTCCCTTCTTCACCCTAACACAACCAGCAAGCCATGCTCTCTCTCCCTCACCCATACACCACCCACTGACCATACTCTCCCTTCCTCACCCTAACACAACCAGCAAGCCATACTCTCTCTCCCTCCAATTAATATCCACTTCAACCTTCCACTATCCCCATCTCCCTAACAATATCTCCTTCACCCCAATAATATCTCAAACTCCCTACCAATATCCCCCCCAACCTAACAATTCCCCCCCCCCCCATCACTATCCCCCA